AAAATACACAGATGTTTACTCGGTGGTGTGATGTCCATTGTTTAATCGATGATCAGACATCAGACTGGTGACACAATTTTTTTTTTTTAGTTATCATATTATATGATGAGTTTAAAAGCCAAAGGATATATAAATATCTATACTGCAAACCCTCAACTAAGGTGTCACAGACTGACAATATTACAATATAAAATTTCTGGCTATTCTTTATGTACAGGAATAAACATGCACAGATACTAATTTGAATAATGACTCTGCTCAAGTTAATATTTTCCCAACCTCTGATTTCCCCAAGTATTCCTTTATTCTCCTGTGAAGTATCACTCATCTATGATTTAACTGTTTCAGCTGGATTAATGCTCAAAGGAGTCTGCATTAATGTGATTTCTTTCTTCCCTTTTGTGTTGACCGGAGATACACTCACATACACAGAGCAAACACTGCATTAATATTCAAAACAGCCACTGGGTGAACCTGCTTCTGAATTTCAACAGCTTGTCTCTTATTCGATTATTCTTTCAGCCTCTAATTTCAGAAGCTGCTGAAAAAAAAGAGGAAATGCCTTCCTGATGCCAAACGCCCCCACCCCCCTTGAGGGAGGAAAAGACAAAAAACAATACAGAGCAACAGACCTCAAAGCAAAGCACAAATGTGAAGGAAAAAAACTAAACTCACCCCTTCATATTAGTGCTTATAGACAATGATAAATGTTTAATGGGCCATTTTGCCAGTTGCACCTATGCATACGAGTAAAAAAGTGCATGTTTATGTCCACATAAAGGGATCGGGGTGCAGATGGTTACAAGCAAGCTACTAATATTAGCAGTAATATAATAAGACTTCTGGCTTTCCGCCCTTGGCATTGTTACAGAAGTGAAGTACAACAGGGGCCACACAGAGGGAAAGTGAATGCATACAGTTGATGAACACAGGCCATGTTTTGCCCTAAAGGCCTCTGCTTATTATCTTAGTGGTGATTATTATCTCCCCTGCATATCAGTGGATTCTGATATGGAGGGGAAGTCGGACATGCAAGGGCTCAGTTATGTTGTTACTCACTCAGCTGTAGAAACGTATACATGCATACGGTACACACTGTCTTACTAACAAGTGCACAAAAACAAATGAATGTGGAGATAAAACATACATAAAAACACTGTGCACACATACACAGAGGCAAAACGGGGCAGGGGAACTCGGCGTAAATCATGCAGAGAGATTTATCGATGACAGACCGGATTAACCAAATAAATGCAGTTTTCTGCACCACAGTTTGGAAAACAAGACATTTCTGAGCTCACAGAGTGACTACGTGTTGCTGTTTATTTTGGGTTGGACAGTGTAATTATTTGGCTGCTACTGCTGCATGCTGTTTGCAATATTAATCAGTTATACTCACAGCTGGAAAATGTTCATGATTTTTTTTTTTTTTTTTTTTTGCAGGGTGTGTAGTGGATAAGGGCATCGAGTCCACTTGGAACATCAGATCGAAGTCTTTGTTGTTTTCAGTGTGCAAGTAAAAAGTAGATCAGTGTTTTGGGTTAGGTGTATTTTTAAAAGCTGTATTTAATTTTAAATACCACTGAAGTGAAATGATTCAAATAGTAGCCAATCAAAACCAGAAGAAAATGTCCAAAGGGATTTTCATGCTCGAGCGTACCTGAATGATGTGGTCAGAAGTTCCTTTGGGTTGAAAGTGCGGTAAGATTGGCCTACAGTCAGAATGTAATTTGACTTCTAATGAAAGAAAAGGATTGTGTGCACATCACTCTAACATTAAAATTGGCTCTACTAAATTCTCAGTGAAATAAAGACAGACCGTCTCGCAAGCAGTATTCACATTTACTACTAACAATTTGGTAATCGTTTAACTGTCGAGGCAAAAATATCAAGACAGCTTCTAAAATATAAAAATGTGATGCTTGGGTGCGTTTGGACAAAGTATTCAACAAGTTAAATCAGGGATTATAATCATCATTTCTTAACGGTAAAACTGTAACTTTTTACATAAACATACAGTGTGAAAATAAACCTTTTTTTTCCCCATTCTTATTTTATTTTTTGTGGCCTGTGTGTGCGCTTCATGTGGCCACTTCCACCTGCAGAGTGTTCTGCCCACAAATGTCAAACAGGCAACAATGTGGTTTGTAAATTGGCAGTGATGTGGTTTGTAGCTGCCCTTTAGCAAGAAAAGTATAACGGAAATTCACCTCAGTGTTAACGCAAACATTGAGGTTACTTCAAGGAGTAAGAGGGATAGGGTTGATCTAACTCACAGCTGAAACTACCAGTGAAAGTTTTTCCTTTCATTTTTTTTCTTTTGTGACCACAGCTTAACTAAGGTAAGTTTCAATCAGTCCCATTTACTCTTTTTTAATTTTGCTGTTGTTTTATCAAACATAGCAAGTACAAAATAATGAACATTGTCCTAACTGTGCAGGACAGCTTCTTTTTTTGACCCGTAGTTCATGACATTTTGGAATTCAGGATGTGGGAAGCAATTAGAAGATATTCAAATAAGATTTATTATTGAGTTTAAATTGTGACATTCTGTATACTTTTCTCAATTATTTTAGGGTCATTACTTTACAATATAAAGCTCCGTGAAGCGTCTCTTGTTGTGATTTGGCGCTACAGAAATAAAACTGAATTGAACTGAATTAATGGCAAAGAACTGGTAAGTAGCTTCTTGGCTTATATTAAGTAAATATTACCCAGTATTTTATGTTCAGTGCTCAATGTTCAAAGCTGTCTTCTGTTTAGTGGGAAATAAACATCAATTTCGTAATGACCAGAGAGAGACTCTGAAACGGCGTTTGACTTTGTGTTTACTTCTAAATAACCTTCTCTGCACTCTGTTATGTCTAGATACATGGCTGGATTACGTGTGCTGTGAGGACGGTCGTATAGCTGAGGCTTTGTGCCTCATCTGGACCGCGATAAGAACCAGCGTCCGTAACACGGTGATAACCACAGTTGTATTAATTTCAGCTCAGCGCCTCTGACTTTTTATGTCTGAGACTCAGGCACCAAAAACTCTGCCTCTGCCAAAAGATTGTCTGCATCTGGTGCCGCCAGCTACTCTGCAGTTTCAACACCGGTCTGATCATCTGTTCTGAATTTGAAATGCTCCTCACTAAAAATTTTCACCTTGAGGGCTCCTGCCAAGCCAGTGGTCACGACGCCTCTGCTGGCTCCACCTCTGCTGATGTGAGCGCGTGTATGTGTGTGTCTACGTTTGTGCACGGATGTGTGTATTCAAGTATATGCCTTGGTGAGATAAGAGTGTGTATACTGTACGCAGCATGCACGCATCAGTACCCTTTCAATGTCAATGACTTTTCTGAGTTGGGACAGTCAGCTGGTCACCGATGGACTCAGCATGGCTGTCCCTGTGAGGCGCAGTGGAGTGGCGGGGTGGGCTTGAGACAAGGTGACAGAGGAAATTGTGCTCAAGTAATGACTGACGGTCATGGTTATGTCCTGTCCTGCCTGTGGAGGAGACTGTGTGTGAGTGACGCAAACATGTGAAGTCCAGGACTAAACACAAAGCTCTAGTGTGCTGCTGGGCAATCCTTTTTAAGAGCAAAATGTTTCACTTTAGGGGTTTCTATATAAACACACCGCTTTCCTGTCACTGAAATGAATATAAGGTAGACTTTGGCTGATGCAACAGCCCTCCTTTTGTGTCAAAGCACATACACGCACAGTCCAGAGCAACTGCACTTTCATGCCTCCACCTGTGTTTACACTGTGAACACAATACTTTGTTCCCTGGCGTCTTCCCAGAATACATTTTTAATCAAACTGCCCATCAAACCCAACGGCGAATATTTAACAAACTTCATGGCTCATCGGCTCCCTTAAGCCTCCATCAGAGCCCCTTTGTTGCCACCAGACAGAGACCAACCTTTGCATCTGAAGGCACACTTCTTCTATAAGTGCCGGAAAACAGCAGCAAGAAGGTTTTGTGACAAATAGTGAGCAGTCATATACTTTTCAGTCATATATTGTAAGTAAGCAAAAGCTAAACAAAGCCAGAGTCCTTGGGGAGCCTATTTATTTATGCAAATTATGAAACTGCTCATTCATAGGGTACAGAAATTACCCAAAGGTACCCAATGATTCACAGAGTAATCACAATATTTGGAAGGGAGGTGTTGTGTTTATGAAAATAATTTTTCTGCTTCTTTTGTTTGACTGAATAATTTCTTCCACTCATGGAAATGAAAGATGAGGGCTCACTTGAGAGACTCAATACATCCAGTCCACACTAGAACAAACGCGCAGCCACACACATAGCACGCGCACTCTGTCTACGCACATACCCTTAAGAGTAAACACACTTGAACAATGTTCACTGTTGAGCAAAATCATAAAAGCTCGCAACTGCTGCCTGTGGGCCAGGTTTCAGACACCCAGGCGAGAGCAGGATTTTTCACAAAGGAGCAGGATTTTGTGTGAACGAACAAAAGGAATCTCCTTCCTCCGCTGCTCCTTCCTCCTCTAAATCCTATCGTGTGCCACCATGTGTCTCCCACACGCCTGTTTCTAAGTTACCGGCAGCGTCAGCTGCCAATCCCGCTTAATTGCCTCCTGTGTAAAGTGACAGCTGAGGAGTGGCGATGAGAGCGAGCTGTCCTCGCCTTTTCCTGAAGCTCAGTCTCCGCCACCTTGCTAACGAGAGACTCCACCTGAGAATTGTACTGTATGCCTTGGGGAAATTACACAGTAGTTTTGACCTGTAGTGACACTTGAGTATCCAACCTGGGGACTTGCTTTATTAGAAAGAAATATGACTCAAATGTTTCTAGGCACTTTTAAAAAAATAAAATGTTCTCAATTTAGAAAAATGCTCTGCAGGGACAGTTAACTGAAGCTCTAAGGGAGGGAGGGAAATATTTTGAATATGTCTTGTTAGAAATGAAACTAAGTAATAGACATAGAACAATAATAGCAGGCACTGTTTATTTCAATAACAAGAAGCTTCCCTTACCAACCTTGCTTGAGCCTGGAGAAAAAGAAAAGATCTTTTTGCTCACTCCCGCTTGCAGAATTTGCCACCCTGTTGCTCCTTGTTCTCTCTTCCTTTGTTGCGTCTTCCTCACAAACAGATCCTCCTCATCCTCAGGACCAGGGCTGGAATTAACAGCTCATGAGGGAAGCCAGGCGGAAGAGAACGAAAACACACCAGAGAAGAGAAGAAACACACACTTCTCACCCCTAAGTCCTCCTTGGCGGTGTATCCCCATCCGTTAGAGCTCAGCGACTGAGAGTGTGGTGAGAGAGAGAGAGGGAGAGGGAGAGAGAGATGAAATGATACTAAGTGGGCGAGTGAGAGAAAAAGTGAGAGAGGGAGGGAGCGAGAGAGAGAGCCCGTGCGTCTGCACTGGAGGGTGATCCTCTGTACTGTATGATTCCTGTTTATCTCTCTGTCTGTCTCCTCTGCGTGCATTCCTTCCCGACAGAAAGGCACGAGGTCAGCTGTTTTTACAGTAACAACACTTGGTTTCCTCTTGAGGGAGAAGACTTCCTGTTAGTTCTCTGCTCAACTTCTCTCATGGGTGAAATTACTAGCAGTTTTGTGCTTTTTTTTTTAAGAAAATCCCCTCTCTTCTACTTCCTCTCTCCTTCGCGCATAATCTCCCTCTCTATTCATGACTCCAGATTTATTAGCGCCCGAGCAGGCGTTAATCTAATCTCCTCTCTCTAAACATCGCTTGTCCAGAGGTTACTCTGTTGACAAAGAATGCTCTGCAGTTTAATTTTGGACACACACAGTACCAATACACAGACTAACTGCATGTTTGGTAGACAGCGCTCCAATTTGGCTGTATAAAGAATGAAAATGTGCAATTAACTGATATACTGCGTGAAGACAGAATTGCATGATTAATATACGATTCCATCATCTGATACTGCTCTGCATTCAGTCAGTTGTACTGACAAGGCTAAAAAAAGAAAAGAGCTCATTTGTAATAATGCAAATATTGTCATTAGTCAACATGATAACTGAAATCTCTGGGTTTGAACAGATAAACCGATGAATAAATAAAATACTTTACTTTTTCAACTCGGTCATCACAGATCCAATTAATCACGGGATCACGCAGTAAATTGATAATGTGGGGCTTCGTTGGGGTTTTTTGTTTGTCTTTTTCATTATAGTCTTAATGTTTAAACAAATAATCAGTCATCTGCAAAAGAAAGAAGACAAAGACCAAAACATTTATTTAACTCACCAGTTAGCAAAAGACCATGCACTTCCTGTTTCCATCTTTTAAAATATTTTTTAAAATATTAACAGATTCATTAAAGATAATTAATTCATCAACATTCTCATCATTAGCATTAAAATGTTAATAAGGTGGTTCAGTATGCATCAAATTACAATTGCAATTTGCCATCTTGATAATGGGCACAATATCTTCCTAAGACCCAGCCATTCATTCTTGTCCTCTGTGGGAGGACATGCTTTGAGAGATCTGCCTCAAGCACAATTTATGCGATGTATTTGAGCCTTACTGTACTGACAAGAGGACATCCTGGGCTTTCTAGTGATGCCACATCTGAGGGGGTTTCACTAACACACTCCATGGACTTTCTTTTCAAGGAGCAGCTTCCACATTTTATTGCAACAAGGGAGCTTGCGATGAAAAATTTGCAGATAATTGGGTTTTATGAAATTAATGAGATTGATGAAATTGGGCTGAAAATTTTTTGAACATGACTCATGAAAACAGGACGACGTTGCCCACAACCACCGGCAGGAAGGTGAAAGCTCAAAGGATGAGATACGAGCTTTCGAGGAGCCCGAGCAGGACTGTGTGAAGGCACCTACCATCTATAATAAAAAGAACTGTTTGATGTAGAGCTCTGAAGTTTTCAGGCATTATGATCTCTAGAAGGAGAAACGAAAACCTCTTCAGCTGAATTCACACACATACACACAGTCAAACACACACATAGGATGAAACAGGACAACGCTGCCCACAACCACCAAACAAAAATTAGGCAACCGTGCTAGCAAAACCGTGCTAACAAAACCATGCTAGAGCTCACAAACCAGATGGTGTCGCTCATCTCTGAAAGGAAAGTAGCACTAATATCATACTGAAACTGGGTTGAAATTGTTTTTTTAGCATGACATATGAAAGCAGGATAACCACCAAATGTGGTGGTCTGATTACATCAGACAGAAAATAGGGTGCTAGTTATAGCCTATTTAATAAGTTGAGGCAGATTCAAATAATCTTCATGGTAAATGGCCTGTATTTATATAGTGCTTTACTAGTCCCTAAGGACCCCAAAGCGCTTTACATATCCAGTCATCCACCCACATACACATTCACACACTGGTGATGGCAAGCTACATTGTAGCCACAGCCACCCTGGGGCGCACTGACAGAGGCGAGGCTGCCGGACACTGGCGCCACCGGGCCCTCTGACCACCACCAGTAGGCAACGGGTGAAGTGTGTTGCCCAAGGACACAACGACCGAGACTGTCCAAGCTGGGGCTCGAACCGGCAACCGTCCGATTACAAGGCGAACTCCCAACTCTTGAGCCACAATCGCCCCGTCACTGATATGCAGGAAAAGAAGGAAGACCACTGGAAAGTGGGAACTCTGTTAAAGAGGCTGCCGTGAAAAATATGATTCCATGTGGGATTGGTCAAGAAACATCTTCAGAGCTCTAGCTTACACAATACTTCTTATCCATACTGGACTTTAGGTGTCGTCACTTTGGTCCTGTGAGGCTCCTCAAAACCTGGTATGCCCTCCGTCTGAACCTTCACCATCTTGTTCTAATGCCCACTCCTCCTCCACCTCATCTCCCGAAAACTTGACTCAATTTCCACAGTTCTGAATGAAATCCTGTGAAATCCTCACTCAGCCATCATATCATTCTGTGATCAAGCGAGATCTGATGTCCACTTCAAGGGACAGAAGATGAAATTTAAATAAATTCCAGTTTAGACATATTATTCGATGCATGTTTCTAATAGTTCACTTATGTATAAGAAAATCTAAATATCAGAACTTTACTTTCAACCCTGTTGAAAATGGGTTGAAATGTGAAAACAGGACAAACCACAGTCATCAAGCCTAGAGGCTCTCTGCTTACATAAAATATAACACGGGCAACCAGGTTTCTGAAAAACATGTCAAACCACAGGAAGGTGCTCATCTCCAGAACATTTGTTGTTTTAAGGGTAGAAACACTGTTCAGAACATATCTGCTTATTGCAAGACTCAGATAGTCCTAGGACCCAGATACACTGGGTCCTAGTTATCGCCAGTTCACTAAGCTGAGACAGATTCTTCAAGATGAGGCGGCCCATCAAAGTAATAAATGATCTTGATGTCTCTGACATAAAGGAAAAAGAATAATGCCTTCCAAACAGTGTTCAGATGTGTTTCCATCAGTTCCTCGTTTTATTGTTCATGCAATAAAAATATATTTGACGAGAAATCCACATGCTGTAACGTTTTTCTTTTAACCACAATACTTCAATTATCAAAACAATTTTTCCGGGCCTCAGGAGGATATGAATCATTTTTGAACTATTTCTTGGCACGTTCATATTTGATAGTAGCAGACAACCAAAACTACAGTTCAAGGGACATTTTGGTAAGCCCAGCTTTATGCCACTAAACAATAAACAAGTAACAGGTGTTTGTTTTGTTGTGTGCATATATTGTCATATGTAAAGGCAAAATTATTTTGTTACTGAAAACTCGGTCGCAAAATGTGCCGTTTCTGTGATACTCTGCTTATCTTTTAAGCTTTGCTGGTCCCTGTTGTGTGAAGGCAGCCACAGCGCTTAAGTGTGTCCCCAGAGTACAGTGCATAGTGGGTCAATACGCCCATGAAGTGTTGGATCAATCAGGTCACAGACATCGGTGAAAGGTGATTCAGGGGACAGCGTAACAGCTTTCTGAGTTATGTTGATAAAGTGTCAAAATGTCATACTGGCAAACACGCCACAGGCAAAGTGACAGAAACGCTCAGTTACACCACTGATGAAGTGATGGAGGATTTCTCAAAAGCGGGGAGTCGAACGATATGAACATATGGCCGCGTCGTGTGGATGCTGCACGTTGGCCTGTTGACCGGGTAAGCAAGAAGTGCTCCTATTGAGCACTTTGGGTATTGTGCTGTTGAGAGTGGTGGGTGTTGCTCCCAGACACGTGGCCACATGCAGCCGGAGGAGGCAGCTGTGATAACTGCCAGCTCCTATGAAAGGGAGGATGAGCCTATGTGGACGCCTGAAGCAGGATGTGTGGTGATTGGGCTGCATGATGTTCAGCCAGGAGGAGGTGGTATGCACCGGAGAGATATAGACTTTGCAAGTGTCGCTGGTTATTTCACCGCATTCATCTGCATGCCATCTTATGTGCCATTTGTTGCAACTGATGTTAACTAGTAATATGCCATCACAAAAAAAAAGTAAAATAAAAAAGCATAACAATTGCTGGATAAATAAATGCAAAGCAAGGAAGCTCTTTGGATAGTTTGCTGGTGGCACTTGGTTACAAAATAATGCCTGCAATGTCAGTCAACCAGCCAATGCACTGCAGTCTTTTATTCTGTAAATAGATCAATCATTTTTTTCTTGCAGCGGTTTGACAAAGGTGCTTTCACTTCCAGGTCTCTATCCACTGGACGGTACTCAGAGAGCGTCAGTGACCGTAGCGAGGTGTCAGGTTGTATTCACGACAAGCTCCTGGCCTTAATTGCCTTCCATGCAACTGGGCTCAATAATAATCAGCATGGAGGCGTTCATCACCCCCATCATACCTGTACCCTCTTACATGTGGAATTTAATTTATCTGGTGCAGTTTCCTTTTCTGTTCAGTGTCCCTCTTGCTTCAACTGCAAGAATCAAATGATACGAGTTATTCTGTCTAGCTTCGGTTTCCTTCCTTTCAGCCAAGCTCCAGATTTCTTTGAATCTTTTTAGGAGGCTCTGTAAATGTAGAGGATCAGCTTACACGGTCCACCATTAAACCTAGAGGCTATTTGATACTGTAACAGTGATTTCCAATCTTCAAAAAAAAAGGGTGGGGTGGGGGGTGGAGGAGTGTTATTTCAACTTAGCTTTGTATTATAAGGACTGAGAGCAAGAAAATGACTATTTAAAAATGCTTTTCCATGATTCTTCTTATTTCACCCTTTGAAATGCCATCCTCAAACGCAGAGTTTTCTCTCTTTGGAAAAACAGAGTTCAGGTTCTTATGCAAAATGCAGCCTGGCACTAAACCTGATTCCTGCAGCTGATGCTACTTTGTCTCCTGGCTATAAAGTGAGTGTATGCTGTTGTCAAGCACTTCGCAAGGGCACTGCTTAAGCACACCACATAAAGGTCAGACAACAAACAGGGAATTGTTTAAATCTCTACAAGTCATTACATGTCCTCTGGTATTTATATAGATGCTATAATAGAAAACGTCTGATGACTCAGTCAATCTTCA